AATCGAATATCGAGAAGGTTTACATATCTACCCACCTCTAAATTGCCGGTGTCGGCACCAAAAAAAAATGGATGGAAATTATTATGGGCCCCGTGTACGTACCTCACCTTTTTAATTAAAGATATATAGTGCAATATAACGGACGATATCTGTGTAATGTGCATAATAAAACAGCGCCCTTTTTACTGATGGTCGATGACCAGTGTATCGTCATATAATCGTCAAGGTTTTTGGTTTGTTTTATGGAGGCACGTCACCGCCGCGCAGCTTCTGTAAAAAGTTTCTTTTTTTATGGTGTGTCTTATTACAGAGGCGCATCGGATCTTCGATTTGTATCGTTAATAAGAAAAAAACTTTAAAAGTTCTACATGTTTTTACTTTACTCGCATATGTCAAAATAATAATCATTATAATATTAATAATAATTGCTTGTATGACTAAACCAAAGTCACTTGGAATCAATAGCAGTACATGTCATAAAAAAGTCAGGTGCCAACAAATTTGAGTAGATAAGGTTTTTAGTCCAGTCGATGGACTGATAATAAAAAAGACAGAAATAAACAAAATCACTGTTAAAGAAAAACAAAACACAGACACAAATAAGTGGGCCAGTGACATGCCACGACGCGTAGCAGAAAAAAAAAATCGCCGAGTAAACAGTGTACTGCCGACTAAGTCGTAGGCGTGGCTCAAATTGGAGCCTAAGGCTCTCGAAATTGGAAAGAGTTGAGATGTCCAAGCCAGGTAGGAAACAATAAAAAAAAAAACCGTAAGCACTCATGGGGGAAAAAGGACTTATGCTCATAGTGTCATGCAGCAGTTCGTACTAACGTGTGGGGCTCGCAGAAGTACTCATTTAAAGTACAAAATACCAAAAAGAAAAAAAAAAAAACCAAGATCACGAGAAAGTCGTTGCTAACCTCCAAGACAAAAAAAAAAAAAAAAATCACGGACAGAACAAAAAAAGTGTCTGCATCACCACTCGAGTATTAAAAATAATAATAAGAAGAAGAAATAATAGCAATACATCAGTTTCTAGCAAGACACTTCTTTTGAATTACTGCGTCGTTTTTTTGTTGTTTTTTAGCCGGTTGATGTCGTGAAGATTACTGATCCAAATTGGTTCACTAATAAGTTGGGGCTGCACGGGCTATTTGCTCGGGATCGTGGCCGGTCCCTGCATGATCTCCTAGCACTGGCTCTTCTACGACGGCAGTTAGTTTGCCTTTTGTTTTCGTGAGCGCATGCTGTCGGCCGCCCCCATCCGTCTGCTCGTGCAGGCATGCCCATGCAATAACAAGCTTATTAAAGCTACGAGTACGTTTACATGCACGCTGCACGTGTTTGCACGCATAGGGCACCAGTGGGGCTCCATGTTTGACCTTTCCGAAAAAGGGCTCCTAGCCGGTTCCATTTTCAACGCTCGTGAGTAGGGAGCGTGATTTGCCCGCTTTGCGAAGCGACGAGCATGCGCATGCTGGGCTGAGGAGATCGCACGCTGGGCTGAGGACTTGTACATATTGGAATTGTGTATTGGGCAGGAGATCGAAATAATAATAATAATAATAATAATACATTTATTGTATGGAGCACAACACTGTTTGCGTGACGGGCGCATCAAAGCCAAAACAAGGCTTGTGTGATGCTACCCTAAAATTAACACTTTAAACATTGCTACCCGGTATACAAAAGGAAATAAGACAGATTGACGTACACACGTCCTTAGAATGTCCCAAAGTCAAAGTCAGCAGTTGGGTGCATGCAACACACAAAATCACGCCTCCAAATACTGATTCAAGTACATAGATAATGTTTAAAAGAACTTAATATAAAAAAATAACGATAATCACGAAGACCAAAGTGTCGCGCCTGATGTGTAAAAGAAAAAGAAAAAATATTCAGGCGAAAAACGAAATTGCAGTACACGGCGTCCAACGAGCGATTGTCCAGGACGTCCAAGCTAAACAAGTGAAACCCACACTGGAAAACACTAAACAAAGTAAAACAGAGATCATCAAAAACTCATACTTCTAAGTGATCTCTTAAGTTTACGGAGCGAGGTAAGGCCCAGAAGCTCGGGCGGCAGCTGTGAGAAAAGCTTTGGAACGTAATATGCTCGCGTACTTTCACCGTATCGGGTATGCACAAGAGGTATTTGGAAAGGCTACACGTGTCGGAGGGCACGAGGTGATGAGCTTAAAGTTTTGAATTCAGAGCTCCAGAAATGTCGCAAAATAACTGTGTGAACATAGAGGGTGTGAAAGTCAGGCAGTTGAAGAAGGTCGAAAAGAGTGGTGTCCTCGGGTATTTGCATGTTATAGGAGACACTCTTTAGGATTGCTTTAAGGATGCTGTCAATTCTAGCTCTCCAGAAAGCGGAACAATTACCAAAAGCTGTTATGCCATACCGAAGGATACTGTACCCTAGAGTATGAGCAATAACCTTACGAACAGAAAGAGGCATGAGACATTTGGATCTATATAAGATGCAGCTGGCGCTCCTTAATTCTTTGCAAATATATGCTAAATGGGCATGCCATTTTAGGCCACTATCGAAAAAAATACTAAGGTACTTAACACTACTAGCGTACTCTAAGGGGACACAGGCGCACTGATTACAAGCAGATGAGTGTAAAATAAAAGGAACGCTGAGATTGATTGTTTTATGTGGATTGTAGAAACACATTAGTTTTGTTTTCTTTACATTGATAGCGATTAGGTTTTTCTCAAACCAGTCCATGACTGCAGTCGCATGGTGCTGTAACTGGCGAATCGAGTCTACGTAATTAATATGTTGGGACATGATTACAGTGTCATCTGCATACTGATATATCTTGCATCCTGGTACATAGCTGGCGATGTCATTGACAAAGATGTTAAACAAAAGTGGTGACAAAATTGAACCTTGTGGTACACCTGCTTTTAGTTTGGTTCGTGAGCTTTGAAAACCTCCAGCAGATACCAGCTGGGAGCGATTGTCAAGATAGCTCTCAAAAAAAAGAAAAAAAAGTGCCACGGAAGCCTATGCTGTGAAGTTTACATAAAAGTAACGAGTGACTAACGGTGTCGAACGCTTTAGATACGTCCAAGAATAGTGTTGACGTGACAACGTTGTTATCAAAACCAGAGTAAAGATAATCAGAAATATCTTCCAGAAGGGGCTGTGTGCCCTTCCCATGCACGAATCCAAACTGAGTAGGTGACAATATATTAAGTTTATCTAAAAAAGACGTCATTACCTGAAACACATGCTTTTCGAGTATCTGCGCGATTATCGGTAGAATAGAAATCGGTCGATAATTCTCGATGTTATTTTTGGCACCACCTTTGTATAGAGGACGCACTATTGACGTTTTAAGGTCGTCGGTAATCGATTTAGCCTCAATAAAGCCGTTTAACATAAAAAGAAGGACCGCTTTGGGACTGACATAATTTCTGCGAAGATCGGAGAGACGAGTGTTGTCAATTCCAGGCGACTTGCTTGGCTTAAAGCTAAACAAGATCGAGTGCAGATCCGTCTCTTGGAGTGGGAAAAGCAACGCAGAGGAGCTGACAGTGTTACCAATAGGAGTTGGTGGATCTCTCGCCTTTCCAGAAAAAGTAGCAAAGAAAGCGTTGAAATTTTCTACAACATGACATAAATTACCGCCAAAATTTTGCTTCATCGTATCGTCGATAGAGTGGCGCGTGCTAGTTCCACGGAACTCATTAATCAGGGACCAAGTTTTTCGTGCATCTGAACGAAATTCTGCGAATTTTTTCTGGTAGTAGTTTCGTTTGGCAGATCTAATCATTGCGTTGACTTTGTTGCGAAGGAATTTAAAGTCTGACTTCAATTGCACGTTGTTAGGTGAACGACGGCATCTAGCCCATAAAGCATTTTTATCGCTAATTGCCGTCAAAATATTTGTATTTAGCCATAAAAGGTCAGGATTACGTTTCTTCATGTACACCTCTTTCCGACAGGTATTATAGAATTTATCAAACAAAAGAACGAAGTTTTTATATACGTCACTGTGGTGGACGGACTCCAGAAATCCGATCCAGTCATATGACGAGACAGCTTATCAAAGGCACAATTGTCTATGCTGGTTATTTTAATACGGCCCGGTAGTTGGCGCGATGCCAAGTTACCAAAAGAACAATGACAGGCCACAAAGTAGTGGTCAGCGAGTTTTTCTGTAATAATGGCCGATTTAACGATCGACGCAGATGTTCTGATGTTGATATGGTCAATGCAGGAGCAAACTAGTCTGTCTAATAGAAACTCTTCACGAGTTGGACCATTAATAGTGCACCCTATCCCATGCGTTGACAAGATGGTTAAGTATTTGCACACCGTAGATTTGGTCGTGCTTATAATGTCAATATTAAAATCTCCTACAAGGCATAACTGGTCATGCATGGTGAGACTACTTATGTAAGATTCAAGTTCTTCCAGAAAAGATCCAACGTTCGTGGAAGGCGGTCTGTAGACTGCCAAAAAACATACCGAGGTTGCCGCGTTTCCTAGAGAAAGGGCGACACACTCTGCGTGATTGAAGTTTAAAGAAATATTAGTAATGGACCACTTCTCATTCACGAAAACCGCGATGCCACCTCCATGACCGGAACACCGCGTGTAGAATTTACCTATATATCCTGGTAAAGAAAATTGATCTGTAGCAATAGAGGAAATGCTTATTTCTGTTAAAACAAAGACATCTACCAGCGAACTAATATCCCTTGAAATTATCTCGAATTCATTCCAATGCTTTCGTATGCTCCTTATATTAACATGTAAAACAGAAAAAGAGTGGTCATGACAGACTCCAAGAAACTTTCTTAAAGACGAAAAATCTGAAACCTGAGCGAAGTTTGTCATGCAACTAGATAATCTTTTCAAGGTCTAACTTATGGTTGATCCTCACAGGGAGAGAACCCTCCATCTTTCTGGCGTATATCTTAGCCCTTGTCACCCACACGAATTTGTAGCCTCGCTCCTTGCCTCTCTGTCTAGCCTGCCAAAACAGCTCCTTGTTCGCACGAGTCAGGTTGTCGTTTAAGTACAATTTGGGGAAAGGACCAACCTGACTGAGTGAGGGAAGCTTACCCCGCACTTCCATCCACGATTCCTTCATGCTGACCGAAGCAAATCGAATTAGAAACGGCGGGGCCTTTTCGCGTTTGGCAGGCAAGCGATGTATAGCGAGTATATCGGTTTTATGGAAGTGAGAGATGTTCAGCTTTTTCGCGAGAGACTCAATAAAGGATAATAGGTCTTCTTTAGGCGAGACAGGAAGTCCGTGCACTTCGAGGTTGGAGAGACGACTGTGCTGCTCGTTGTCGTTGAGCGCGCCCCGGATCTCCTGGATTTCGGCTGCTTGTATCTGCACAGTTGACTTTAGTTGCGACAGTTCGTCCTGGAGACCTTTGCCAGTTTGCTCGTTGGCTGTTGCCAGCCTGAGAAGACGATCATAGTCAGCGGAGAAGAAGTCCATGGACTGTTGAATTTCGTTGACTGTCTCTCTCAGGCTCTCAACCAGTGGCTTCACCAATAAGAGTTCGTTGAGCTGCGCCGACAGAGACAGGAGGGAATCTACACTTCCTTTCAGGGTGAGCAGCCCATCCAGCTTCTCAGTCATGGCAGCCAGCTGAGCAGATAGATTCTCCACACCCTGCGAGGCTTCGATCCCATCAGGTGGTCCCGCTTGACTCTCTTTCCCACGGCACGTCCGGCATCTCCACTTGTCACGCTTAGACTGACCCATAGTGGTGAACGTCTTGTCGGCGATACCGGAACAAGTCTGGCCCAAATGGTAAGCACCTTTGCAGTCTGCGCACGACATGTGCCTTCCATCGGTCTCCACTGACTTGGTACACGCCACACACTCGATGGTTGGAGTCATAGTTGAATCGACGCGCAAAAAGGTGGCGAAATACGTGTACTGCCGTTAGGCTCGAGAAAAGCGCAGCGAAGTAATGACCCAAGCCAACGAGGCAGGTAGCTAGTCAGGATGGCTGCCGGTCTCTGCACACTGACGGCACGACGGGCGTTGAGAGCAGAATAAGGGAAGCTGGATACCCAATACAGTAAACCTACCGGCGAATCTAAAAAGCCGAGTCAGACCGCAGCTGGGAAGGGTGGGAGAAGGCATGAGACGCCACGACACCTGGTCATAGATGGTCGCGCAGGCATTTCCTGGAGCGTCAGAGTGGCTAGGCCTCACGGTGACAGAAAGCCGCAGCCAGCTCTTTTGAAGATATCCCGTCGAAGATGATCATGGCAAGGTCAGCACAACTCCAGGCATGAAGTCTTCGTCCGCAGGAGTATGCCAGATCACGTTTTTCTTGCTTTCGAGGGAAATCCTCGGACGGTGAGAACGATCACCGGGTCATGCAAACATCATCTTCTGATGTAATAATAAAATAATAATAATAATAATAATAATAATAATAATAATAATAATAATAATAATAATAATAATAATAATAATAATAATAATAATCAATCAATCAATCAATCAATCAATCTTTATTATACAGTGCCCAGGAACAACCCTGAGGTCTTGGTGCTGGTACACTGGTGGATAAAAAAAAAAAAAAACACACTATACACATCTCCGCAGAAAATAAGATACATTTTTAGCATAATACTAGGCAGTGCACGAGTGATTAGTACAATGAAATAAAAACGAGGCAGTAACAGTAGAGACTGAACACAAGACCGAAGGACAACAACTGCACCACCAGAAAACACGACATGGAGATGACGACATTCAGACATAACAAAGCAATTCAGCAATGCTCATCCTGCACGGGCAAGTTTTTAATAGAAAGGACAAACGTCCTGTAGCAAGGGTTGAAAATATCAAGTTTTTCAGAGTAATGATTCAAACGCTGAGCCATTCTCACAATTGGGTTTACCGGACTAAACATTCTAGAAACATAAAAAGATGACAGAAGACGAGTAGGCACACGTGGGACCCTAAGGCACAGTTCAGATAACAGGCTCGGAGAATTGATGAGTCCATGCAGCGTTTTAAACAAAAATAGTAAGTCCGCGTTCTCCCGACGCCGGTGCAAGCTAAGCAAACCAACACGCTCTAACGCAGACTCATATGTTAAACAGTGAACATCCTCCTTTATGTAGCGATGTTTAAAGATAGAAACAAACTTTTTTTGCACACGTTCGATCTCCAATGAGTGACTTTTAGAAATTCCATTCCAAACAACTGAGGCATATTCTAACTGTGACCTGGATAGCGAGCAGTATAACGTGATAAAAGCCGTCGGGTTTTTGAACTCTCTGGTTAAGCGAGAGGCAACACCCAACATTCGCAAAGACGAGTTAACCAGTTTACCAACGTGATCAGAGAAACGCAACCCAGAATCAACCATGACTCCGAGATCTTTCATTACACTTACTCGAGACAAAGTCTCTCCTTGAATATTATATGCAAAAGAGATATTGTGAGTCTTCCGAGAGAGCGTCATGACCTTGGTTTTGGACGGGTTCAAGAGAAGGTCATTTTCAGAGCACCATCGGTAGAAAGAACATGCATCTTCCTGGAGCTTAGCACAATCACGTTCAGTAACTATTTCTCGATAAATTTTTATATCGTCAGCATATTGCAGGAATGAAGAATTTAAAACAGCAAAAGAGACGTCATTTACGAAAATTGTGAACAGAAGGGGTCCTAAAACAGATCCCTGAGGAACGCCAGAGCGAGTCCTGTACAACGAAGAGTTCATGTTGTTAACCCGGACATATGCCTCTCTCTCTGACAAGTAGCTTTTTAACCAGTCATGTACTGAGCCACATACTCCATAGGAGGAAAGTTTGGATAAAAGAATAATGTGATTGACTACGTCAAAAGCCTTACTTAAGTCAAAGTAGACAACGTCCAACTGACCTCTGTTACATATTACACGAGATGCAGCAGACATAAAGCTAACGAGATTGGTAGTTGTTGATCTGCCGCTCATAAAACCATGCTGATTGGGAATTGCTAAGTTTCGAAATTTGAAAGACAGGAATTGATGAACTACCATTTCAAAGAGCTTAGAAAATGGAGAGAGAAGAGAAATAGGTCTATAGTTACAAATATCACCTTTTTTTCCCGACTTTAAGACTGGAACAACAGCAGCGACTTTCCACGTTTCAGGAAAGGTTCCCAACCTTAACGAGTTGTTAAATATAGAGCACAGTACCGGCGTGAATATGTCGTGATACGTTTTGAGAATCGCAGAGGGAATGCCGTCGGGCCCTACTGATAATATTGCTCTCATTTTCTTAATACAGGATCGTACGGACTCTTCATCAACATTAATGCAACTTAACAATTCACCAAACCCATCTAAGTGAGGCAGCACAGGTGCAGAACGCTGCGTACTATCCCTGTAGACGGACCTAAAATGCTCAGCAAATAACTCAGGCACGGACTTCAAATCGCTCTCGTGATTATCCAGGACAATCTTCGACTCGATATGCCTCCCAGAACGTGAATTAATGTACTTCCAGAATTTCTTCGGATTATTGACAAGATCTGATTCCACTGAGCAACGATGAGCCTGGCGGTCGCGATCCAGGACCGTCTTACATTGCTTTCTGCAGTTCTTGAATTCCACCTCCCACTTTAAAAGGCCACTTTTCTTAAACTTCCTGTGAAAGAAGTCCTTTCTTTTCAGTAGTGTTTTTAGCTCACTGGAAAACCATTTAGGAAGGCGAGATTTAGTAACTGTCCTTAACGGAATAAAAGTATCCATGGCCTTCCGAACAGTTTGCGTGAAGAGCATGACCTGGTCATTCACATCAGGCGACTCCAAGATCAATGCCCAATCAAAACTAGTGAGGTAATGATGCATCCCGACATAGTCCCCTGCCGACAGATTATATGAGGTGTGCGGCGGGGAATCACTAGAATGAGCACGAACAGAAGAATTCTCGAAAGAAAGTACTATATCAAGTGCAGGATGATATGTATCATGAGGAAATAATGGCAGTTCACCCCGTGCTACACGCACACTGTCCATATTTGAGAAGCATAAATCTAGAGCATTAAATTGGTGATTCAAAACATTATTGTGTTGTTTGAGATTTAAGAAAGAAGAAAAGTTTAAGAGCTGGGAGCCTTTCTGCCTGCAGTAAAAGTTGTCCGTAAAAACATCAAGCTGCGGCCAGTTGACTCCAGGAGCATTAAAATCCCCCAAGATTAAGACTTCGCATCCCTGTAAGTCATTCACTGTATTCTCTATGCCAACAAGACAACTATGAAATTCATCTGGCGGTGTCTGGGGAGGGAGGTAAAATAAACCGATTAAAACGCGTACTCCCTTTGCAGCCTCAATCTCGACCCATACGCTCTCGGGAAATTTCTCTAAGTCTTCGCGTCTCCTAGAGCGGTAGCGCCTGTCGACTGCGACCAACACTCCACCTCCCGTTCTGCTCCGCGGGGTAGAATCACGATCGCGACGGTGCACCTCAAAACAAGGAGGGAAGTAATCGGAGGAGCCGATGCTAGAACACAACCATGTTTCAGTTAAACAGAATATAGAGCAATTGGATAAGGTAACATTAGAGAAAAAGCAATCGGCTTTTGTACGCAGGCCGCGAACGTTTTGGTAAAATAAATCAATGTGACTCATCCTTGGTCTATCCAACGTTCAAAGGGGAGGCGGCTGCCTCGGATGCATGGAGCAGGTCTTCGCGAAGGGCGCCTCGAAAAGCCTTAAAGAGGCATGATTTGGGCCACACGGTAGGATCGGAAAGCTTTTCGAAGTCTTTTGCAGCCACAGACACATGGAAGGAGGCGTAGGAGTCGTAGCGCGTCTTCAGTTTCCGGCACTCCACTTCCTCAACTCCGATGGAAGAGAGGTGAGAACTGATGTCTACGCAGCTGGTGTCCGGGTTCAGCTTGGTGACGAACAGGGCTCTTCGTCGAGTTGATGGAGGCGCAACGATCAACTTGCAGGTTTCCGACGCCCCGAAAAGCGCCGGGGTCCTAGCTTTTTGTCGTGCAGAGTTGATGCCACTGGGAGGGATGTCGTCTTTCGGCGGTGCATTATTCTGGCCATCCGAAGGGAGGGCTGCCGCCACAATTTTCGTAGGAGAAGCTTGGGGGAGAGAGCTGTGTAGAGCGGCAGCATAAGAGTCTTTTCCCAAAGACCCCCCCGCAGCCCCATCCACGGGCTGCCGCCGGCGATCGGGCGCGTCCGGCTTTCGTCGCTGGCCGAGTGCGTCACGCAGACCCCGGACCTCAGTCCGTAGTAAGGCCATGGCACCCGCCTGTAGGTCGGCGTCGCGCTTTTGCTCGTGTCGGAGGCGTGCGTTTTCGTCCCTGAGGGCGGCGACCTCGTCAGTCAGGAACGAAATTCCCTCCATAGCATCGAGGAGCAGGCTCCGAAGGGACTCGACGCCGGCGCCAAGGTCAACGGGAGGAGAGGAGGCGGGTGGCCCCGCGGGAAGTTGTCGAGCCGGAGCGAGGGCCGCAGGGGTACGGGAAGAGTCCGCAGCGCTGCTGTCGTGATTGCCGACGACGCCATCGCTGTTAGGCCTCGCAGCACCGCCGACAATCGCACAGCTCTCACAGAGAAAGGAGCTTACCCCAGACTGAAGGAATGTCTCCACGTTGTCCGGCCAGCACACACACTTTGTGTGCGCACGAAGATTGCATTCAGAACATCGGAGAAACTTCTGTCTTCCGTAGAAGAGACG